ATGGGAAAGATGGGGATTCTTTTTATTTGTGTGTCTTTCTTTGTGTGCCTCAGGGCCCCTTCCTTCCCAGGGCCTCCACCTTCCGTACTATCCGCGTGGTTGGTGAGGAAGGTTGCATTTTTCATGTGAAGTTCTTTAGTTATCATGAGGTTATTCGTGGTTTTCATGAGGAGCATGGTATTACACAGGGTTTCTTGGAGTTACATGAGTTTTGGGTACATCAGGCGAATGGTACGACCCACTATGTTTCAACTAAAACGCCCACCACCCACGTAAACCGAACCTGACACACCAAGCCCAAAGTAGTTAGATGTACACTGTTTTTCAAACTAAGAATTGGCTGAACGAACACGAACCTACTTTTTCAGTTAACGCTTCATCTTGCCCTAGCGTTAACCTCGCTTACCTCACGGACCCAACCGAACCAAACCTTCGTCATAAACAAGTCGCAACCCTAATCCCAATCAGCATACCGCACAACACACCCCTGACCCAAACCGGAACACCACACCATATTGAATCGCGAATTCTCCCCCACACCGTTCAGCACCTTCAGCTCTGACCTAACACCCGCATGCTGGGGAGGGCGGCGAGGGGGGTTGTGGAAGCGCAAGCCTGGGCCATAGCAAGAAGGCGACGACGATTGGCACGCGCTGCGAGATAAATCATAGGAGAACGCAGAGCTGAGAGGTTCGCTCAACGAGCAGGAACAGTATGCCGACAACCCTTGCGGGGCTCTTCAGACCATCTTAGGCTCTTTGATCATGTAGGCAGCCAGGGCCGACGCTGAAAACTTCAACATCTAGGTTTCGCGACCCCCTGTCGTTGCGCAAGATGGCTGGAGGTTACAATTGAAGACGCCATTACTCTGATGCTCGCGCATATATTGCGGGGCGGCGGCGGGTCGTCCACACCAATGTTCATTTGTGTATTGATGTTGGTGATCCAGGTCGCGGCTTACCTGCGCCGAAAGTGGCGCGGCACAACAATGGTTTCATGCAGATATTCATACTTGCGTGGCCTGGCTTCTATGACGATAGGTTCCTTGTGCAATACTTACACATATCTACCTTCAGGAAGTATGATCCGATGTCCATGGTTGGTTTTCGGGGCTCGTAGTTGTCTCAGGGTGTTTTGAGACGTCCTCTGATTTCGGCGCCCCTGGATCGGTCAGCATATCCACACCCGTATGCCACCACGTGTTCTGTATGTTTGCTTGTGCGCGTGGATGTCCCTAAGTGTCCCGAGGTCTCCTTAGATGCCGCTACGTATCTTTAGGGATCCGCGGGTGTCTCTAGGTATCCCCATGTGTCCTTGGATGTCTTTCAGTGTCCCTGGATATCCATTTGTCTGCACATGTCCGTGGTTGTCCCCAGGTGTCCTTGGATGTCCTCAGGTGTCCCTGGATGTCCCAATGTGTCCTTGTATGTTCCTGGATGTCCCTGGATGTCCCTAGATGTCCCTAGGTGTCCCTGGATGTCCATGGATGTCCCTGGATGTCCTTTGATGTCCCTGGATGTCCCTGCATGTCCTTTGATGTCCCTATGTGTCCTTGGATGTCCGCTGGATGCGCGCCTCGGACACGCCACCCTTGAAATTCCGCGGGCCCGTTCGAAATCAAAGGTTCGTGCGTTCAAGTTGTGGGGGATCTTATTTGAAAACAAATGCAAATACAATACGCGTGCACAACTTTTTCTGATTCCTACACTGTTTGATCGGCTGCTCCATACGATGGCGAACCTTTCTGGTCTGGGTTTCGCTGATCTCCTCGTCGTTTGCCGACTCATATGTGCTGTTCATCTCACAGCAAGAGAAACTCATGCCTTTCCTCCTCTTCTGAAGATGCGCTTCTGCTGCTGCTACTGCTGCTGCTGCCCCTTCTTCTTCTCTTGAATATCCTCCTCCCCCCCTTCAGAGTGCCGATCACTCAAATCCTTTGCCATGCGATGCCCCCGTTGGCCCGTCCAAAAAGCAGCTCATCGCGCCGCGCGCGGAAGTCTGGCGGTAGACTGTGATGCCGGACGGCATGGTTATACCTTTTTTTGGCGGGGCATCGGGGCGGGTTTTCGACTACAAACGACGGGGCGTAGACGCAGAAGTCGCTCGATTTCATCGTTCTGTTAATGCCTATCTCGAAGCTCGACGCGACGGCCGATACGATTCGATACCACATTCGAGATTCTTGCCCACGCCCATGACACAAACAAAACAGCACGACAAATCCGCAGTGCAACTGTTACTGCACACTAGTTATTTTGGAGCCATTATCCATCTTAGCTTTTGTTTGAGCAGCTGTTTCTGATGTTGCTGCACATTTGTGTGGGTGTCCTATGGGTTTCGTGGGGTTCGTATGTGTTATCATGGTGGTCTCTCTCTAATTGGCACCAACCACGCCTTGTTTTGTCTACGTTTTCCCTGGTTCCTGATGTGTTCAATAGGGTTTCATGAGTTTCAATACGTTTCGTTGAGTTTCCACAAGTTTGCATTGAGCGTGATGTTGTCCTTACGTGTCCTTACTTGTCCTTCGATGTCCCTGGATGTCCCTAGATGTCCCTAGATGTCCCGGGATGTCCCTAGATGTCCCTGGATGTCCGCATTTGATGTCCCTGGATGTCCCTAGATGTCCCCAGATGTCCCTGGATGTCCCTGGATGTCCCCGGATGTCCCTGGATGTCCCTAGATGTCCCTAGATGTCCCTAGATGTCCTTGGATGTCCCTGCATGTCCCTGGATGTCCCTGGATGTCCCTAGATGTCCCTGGATGTCCCTGTTTGTCCCCGGTTCCTCGGTTTTGCTTGGTGATATCATGTCCTTGTGTGTCTTTGATGTCCGCGATTTTCTTTGTTTGTCCCTGGATATGTCCCCAGATCTGTCCCCGGATATGTTGATATCCTGTTTTTCTTCATGTTCTTTTTTGTTGGTGCGTTTGTCTTCCGTAATTGGTTGTCAAACCCGTTGTCTGGTCGTGTTATGTGCCCCCAAAGAAACATCATCTTGTCGGCGTGCAAGATTTAGCCATCGAGGGCAACACCCGCCGACATCAGCGGCCCAAGAAAACCCCACATTGAGGACATGTGAATGCTTGTGCGGCCCAAATCGGCGGACATCGCTTCATGCTCAGCCATAAATTCGTGGACATCAGGCCCGACAGGGCCCGCAACCGCGGACATCTGCTTGTTTTTTGCAAAAACAACTCATGAAAACTCAAAGAATTCATTCCTCGATTTTAAAAGGAATTTTGCTGTCGGGGCCAAAAGCGTGGACATCAGACATACGTTGCAGCCCGAAAGTGCGGACATCGTACCCCGCTGAGGCGCCAGAGCGCGGACATCGCGCATCGCCGCGCCGAAATCCAGGAACGCGCCCCGCGATCCTGAACCTTCCACGCCGGCCACGAGGATACCATGGATACCGCGGAGGCGTTCCCTTCTGGATTCTCTTATTTTCTTCTCCCGTCGAAATGACACTCCATACATATATTTGAATTACACGGTATCTTTGGATACATTAAATATACTTCCTTGTATTTCTGGAATTCCTCCTTCACCAACCAAAAACACAAAATTGTCCATCGTAACCTAGAGATTCTTTCAACAACCCTGATATTCACGTGATATCATGGTATTAGTTATTGACCAGCCATATATCAACGAAACAACTGTGATTTCTCATTGTCTCCCAAACGCATTCATGAATTCCAAATCAAGTCTCTGTGTACGTGCATTGCCTGACTTCTCGTGGATGCATTTGAAAACGGTGCAACCCCACACCCTAAGGGTTACTTATATGTGGTTTTTTGCACACGCGCATGCCGCAACGCACGTGGTGATGACACATGCACGTGTCATACCTTACTTCTCTGTAGCGGCATGTTGCGTTTATGTGTGCGACGCAGCAACGAAGACACGCATGTTCAGCAACACTAAAGTTTCCCTTGCAATACCAGCATGCAGGGTATTAGTGCATGCGTCTAACCAGATGAATCTTGTAGGTTCCATGCTTGCTTCCTCCCCATTTAGTGCGGGAGCATTTTGTGGCGAATGTTGTGTCGCATTTGGTTTGAGACGAAGGGCACACACACATGCACATTAACTATCTCTATGCGTTGCATTGGCCTTCGGCATGAGCCGCCTAGTGTAGGTACATATGTAACTAAGAGAGCTTTCCTGTGCCGTACCCGGTGGCTAATGTATTGAATATTCGATGTGTTCTCATTTTTCATTCAATGGTTTCTGCCCGATGCACCCTCCAACATCTCGTACCAGATGCTGCGTTTTCTCGAACAGCGTCAGGCCGCTGAATTCTAGACCAAACCCCAATGCGAATTCGGTCCCTATGCGCGTCGTCTGTCATCATCGTTGTCGTCGTCATCGTCGTCGTCTTCAATGTCGTCGGCCTTTCCGTTCTGTCAGCCGTCTGTCCACCGCGCTCTGTCGCGCGCGGCGCCTGTATCTGAAACGATGGCCAACCGAGGAGAAGGGAAAGTAATAAGGGGAAATAGAAGGATAGGAGAGGGAACAAGAGAAAAGGAAAGAAGGAAGGGAAAACCGACGAACAGGAGGAAGCGACGGACGCCGAGAATAATGAGGATGATTGTGCTTCAGGAAAGGAAGTGGAGGAACACCTGGATAAAGAAATTTAGACATAATAAGGGAACGAGGAGAAGGCAACTTTAGATTGATCCCTGGCCATATTTTGTATCCTTCCCTTCCGTTCCTCTTCGTGAAGATCGAACATGTTCCTCATGTTCTCCTTGCCCACCGTTGCCTTCAAGCACGTCCAACCATCGGCACCTCCACAAGGGACAAACAGGGACACCAGGGACATCTAAGGACATCCGAGGACATCCAAGGACATCCGAGGACATAAACGGACAAACGCGGACACGAGTTACCAACCGCACCAGCCGCGCGGATAGTACGGAGGGTGGAGGCCCAGGGTTCCTGGGCGCAGGCGCGGTGCGGGCCTCGGCCCCCTGGCGGGGGAGAGCCGCCCGGAGAGGTCACCTCGGGCCACTCCTTGGGCGACGACGGCCTCGCCTTCTCGGCGTGCGGGGCCCGGCGCGGCGCGCGGCGCCGCGCGCGGGGCGCGCGGCCGGGGGGGAGGCTCCCCTCTTGATGCGACGAGGCGTAAGAGTGACCTTTCGCCGGAGGGACCTCTGGTGCGGGCGTAGGTTGGCCCCCAGGTCGCCGAGCGCGAAGCGGCAGCAGCCTCTTGCGCGGTTGTGCCTGGTCCCCCAATGGCCCCCCAAACGCCGCGCGCCAAGGGTCACTCTCACCCAGGGTCGCTCTTGCGTGCAGCCGATTGATCGAACAGGGTACACATTGTTCATTTTCTGATTCCTCGAAGGTTCTTTGATATTTTGGGGGGCCACGGTCCTCTCATTTCTAACTGTCGTATCCTGGGCCTCTTCCTGGCCACTAGGGGGCAAGGAGCAGTCAGAAACGAACCCAATCAGAACTGAACACGGTTAGACATGAACGACGTGTACGGAAAGATGGGGTACGATGCCCAACAGCAGTCCCTGTTCATTTTGAACAGGACTCGCTGTCCGCGCCGCCGCGGATGTTGTTCATTGAAGACAAAAAGCCGCCTGCCCAACAGTGGGCGTTGTCGGTTTTGGACAGCATTTGTTGTTGGGCGTTGTGCCCAGTTTTTCCGTACCCATGTCTGGCGTCCAAAGCGGTGACCACATTATGTGATATGAGAGTTCGTATGCCGCATCCCGTCTTGAGCGAGAATACACGACACTATAATGGTACAGGGGGTCTTCTCAGAAGACCGCGCGCTTAGAGTCGGCTGGGGGACCGAGGTGGCCCAGCCTTGGTTTTGGCCAGCAGGAAGGGGGTCCGGTGTTTGAGGTTCTGGGTTTGGTTTTTTTGTTGTTGTCTTTTCTGCTTCTGGGGTCAGTTCTCGGGCCCCGGGACCGTCAATAGCGGATCCGGGGTGACAGACTTGCTTCAGACGGACCCCAGGAGGGGTCAGGGGACGGATTGCGAACGGATTTGGCTGTACCATCCCTCCTGACCGCTCTTCTCGGGGCACATCCACCTCTGACCCCCCAGCCGCCTGCAAGTGACCACACTCTGAGGTGAGTTCGTGGGGGTTCGGGGTGACCGCACCCTTTCGCGACGTGGGCCACTCTCTCCGAGGAGGTCTCGGGCGACGGGGGCCTACCGTGTCGCAGAAGCGTGCGGTGGCGGATCGTGCGGCGAGGTCTTTGGGGGCTTCTGGGGTCACCGTGCTGAGCAGTCGCCGCACCGTGCTGGGACCCCCGATCGGCAAGTCCGGGGGAGGAGGGGGATACTATCCCAGACTTCGTGCTCCGGGTGCAAGGCTGGCCCCCGGGGAAGGGGCGCAGTCTCGGGCGAGTGGTCACGGGGGGTGGGTGGGCCAAATGGGGGGGTGAAGAAGGGGGCCCTTAATTAAGGGGCCCTTTGGGGCACCTTTGGGAGCCAGCAGGGGCCCGCCCCAACGGGGCCTTGAAGAGCCCCATGTAGGGCCGTTTTCTTTCCCCCCCCCCCTTTGGCCACCCGCCCGATGGTCCTCTGGGGCTCTGCGTTGTGAGCAGGGCACGGCGTCGTGTCATCGGAGCTGGTCGCGCGGAGAGCGAGCGGCGGGTCTGCGTGGCGGCCCCGCTCGCGGGCGAGGGCGGCCTCTGCCGCGGCGAGGGGCTGCTGGCCCCTGAGGAGGGCCCGGGAGTGCGTCCTCGGCCTCTCCTGACGTCCCCTCGCTGCAAATCAATCACGACAGAAGGTGTTTGCTAGTCTTCTGCGCTCGGGGGCCTCGAGGGTCCTGTACGAGAGGGATCCTTGAGTTGTGTCTCTCTTTGCGGGCTCCCGTGGCCCCCTTCCCGGGGCCCTGGGGCCGTCTGAAGTCGGGCCAGGAGGAAGAGCGGGTCTCGTGGGCAGCCCCAGGGATCAGGACGCGTCTCCGCCATGACCCCCTTTCCCCCATGCCGAGTAAGCACAAGCCATCGTAAGCATCAGAATGAAGCTGTTACTCATCACCGTCGCCATCATATTCAGTACCGTCATTGATGTCATCGCCATCATCGTGGCCGTGGTCGTCGTCATCATCATCACCACCACCACCACCACCCTCCTTCTCCTCCTCCTCCTCCTCCTCCTCCTCCTCCTCCTCCTCCTCCTCCTCCTCCCCCTTCTCCTCCTCTTCCTCCTCCTCCTCATCATCATCATGGCCATCATCGCTGCCGTCACCATCGATCCAACAAGATGCTGCTCTGCGTGAGGTCATCTCTGTGCTCGTTCGTCCGGTTGGTAATTGCGCGTTCGGCGTAGCGGGTTTTGGTTGGCCTGTGCCGGGTGCATCGGCCGTCGAAGCATTTCGTCAAGCGTTCAGCCGCGTAATGAGATGCACGTTCGTGTCACGGCACCACCGTTTTGGATCGGCGGTTGGCGGTTGGCACGTCTGTCGGCGTGCCGCCTGGTAGATTTATGCAGACATAGGGGCAATGCCAGGGGGGGATGGGCTCAGGGAG